GGGAACGTCACGGGAGGGGACGGGGCTGCTTGCTGAGCTCTGTACATCCCATCCCAGGCAGTACGTACAAGGCTTTACTGATTTCAAATAACATGAGAAAATAGCAGCACCAGGTCTGAGTCACGAGCAGAGTTTTACTGCTTCTCAGTTCCCATAGGGCAACAGCAATGGCAGGCACTGCTGGGAGACAGGCCAGTGGGCTCGGTCCTGGCAGAGTCATGACGTCCTTGAAAAACAGCCTTAGGACCTTCTTCTTCCCCTTTGGATAGCCTACCATCTCACCCCCTGCCCTCTTGGGACCCCAGCCGCTCTCCAGTCTTGCTTCCACAGGCTGCTCCTTGAGGGCAGGCCATTTTCACTTTTCCCTTCACCATGGGGACTCCCCTGTCCTGTGTCCAGCTCCTTGGGGCTTCATTCTGTGCTCCACACTTTCAAACATTTTCTTACACTGTACTCTCTGCCTGCATTTCCCTCCTTCTCCTTGCTCCCCAGTCTCTCTTAATACCCAGAGTTCCTGTCTTCTAGTGTCAATGTCCGTGCTTCTGCAACGCCTCCTTAATCGGTTACATTGAGAGTCATTGCTCCTTTTCCTGTGTTCTCACTTTGTTTACACTTTTTGCATGCCAATGGCAAAATTCTGCCTTATATAATTGGCAGAATTTTCCACATCTGACACATCTCCCTCTGGATCGTAATACCCTCCTAAAGGCATCATCCAGATTTGAATGATCTTCGTACAACTCCCCTCTGTGAAGGCCAAATGGCACACAAGCCAGGAGCAAGAAAGCTCTGGTAGCCTGTGGAAATGAATGAACGCACATGGGCTGGCAGCCGTGTCCCTGCACATCTGCCTTTTCTCAGAGGCATGGCCCTAGCAGGGTAAGCTGTCTGGAAGAGGGAGCTATTTTGTGCTGATGGAACATTTTGTCCCCTTAAATCATGTCCCATGAAAGACCAGCGTGCCACCCTGCTTCTGAAACAAGCGCTGAGCTCGTCTTCATTTATGAGGGTAGCTGCAGTGTGGATATTTTTAAATGGTGAATGGAGAAATGGGTATATTCAATGCCACGCACTTGTTACACTTTGAGCACAGACTCTGCTATTCATACTCCATCTATTGACTCAGGGAGGAGTTTATTTCAGACCAAACAGCTCAGCTATCCCAGGAGCAGCTGTCTCAGAAGGAAGGAGGATGCTGTTCTATTTTCCCCATCTAACCTCCTTCTCACTCCATCCACAACAGCCTCTCCAGGCAAGGAAGAAGCTATTTTCTTTCAAGCTTTATTCTCCATCTTCGCTGTGGCAAGAAAGGTGATTGGATGTTGGGATTTTTTAATGGTTTTGTCTGAAAGCCATTTAAAGTGAAGCTGGAATGTCAACAAGACTGACATGGAACAAAGAGATGTTAGGTGGAAATGAACTTGAAACAAGAGATGGGTTAGTCATTCCCTTGATCACTTGGAACGGATGATGGAGGTCCCTGGCTCCGCTCCAGTGAACAGAACAGAACCACTTGAATACTGCCAGTCACTGTTTGTACATGCCCTCCTGAAATGGTTTTCCAAAAATGCTGAAGGACGTTTCGTTTTCTTAATAAGTTGGCCTTTCCACTCTTTCTGTATGATTGATGTGTTTCAGCAAACCTTTTTTAAAAAAGAATATCTAGAGGTAAATTTAGCTCATCCTGTTTGAGAATATTCACCATCTCTAAATCCCCAGGGCCTAAATCAATGAGGTTTTACCACATTTCAAAGCAGAGCCCTGATGTATAAATTCTACAGTGGCTAATTTCACGTATTTTACTTCCTCTCTAACAAAGCTATGGGGAAATGCACAAGCAGGGGAGGGCTTGAGCCTCAGTGCTTCATGCACATTTGAATCTGACACCACCTTGGAGGAGGGCCACTCCCTACCCTCTCCTAATCCTCAGCTGGGTTGCTCCGTTTTTCACTCCAAGAGACCTTAGAGGACAGCTATATCCAAGGCTCATTAAAATCTTCTAGGATGAAAAGGTCTTTGATTATTCAGAGCAGCAGGTCTTTAGGGGAAGCCCCCGTACACAAACCTGCTCACCTGATTCTCAATTTATATTGTGTGTTACTTGTGGGAAAAATTGAAAGCTTAAACCTCAGACACTTTCCCTCTCCTCCCTTGGTTGCTGGGTGGCGGGGGGTGGGGGGCTTGTTGTTGAGATATTTCTTGTTGATTTTTTTTCTTTTTTTTTGTCCCTGGTTAGTGCTAAAGATTCTTCCTTCCCCATCTTGTTTATTTCACATCTCTTCTGCGTAGATAGCTTCTGCTTTATGGCTTTTTCCTCCTTATCTCAGATGCAGCCAGCCCTTTCCCCACATGCCCCTACCCCAAAACACACAGACAGACACACACCCTTCCGCAGTGCATCCACTCTCTTCGTTTCAGTGGATCTGACATTAACACGCCACCACCGTCCCCCCACCCCCACCCCCATCCTGCCCTCCTTGTCAGAGGGGAGCTCTGCATTGAGCTAGGACTAGCTCCTGGGTCATAAAAGCTGCTAGGACCCTGGAGAGCTCTTCCTGTACAGATGAGGCCACCCACACCAGAGGAGAGAGGTCACTTCCTGGAGGGAACAAGCCTGCTTTGCTGAGCCCCCTTCCTCGCCAAGCTCCCAGCATCACAGGGAAGGTTCAGAGGAGCTCTGATCCCTCTAATACCTCCTTAGCTTGGTGCCACTCTAGCCCGGTCTCCTGGGTTTTTCTGTAGGAAGAGGAGCACAGCCCGCTCCCCCCATGCCGTGGGTTCCATTAGTGACAACCCAAACTAAATCCCAAATAGGACTGGCTTCAACCTGGAGACAGCCCTTCAATGAAGTGGTTTATGCTGGTGGAGATTTAAAGGTATTTGTCTTTTTGCTGTGTGCTGTGGCTCATGCCTGTAATCTCAGCACTTTGGGAGGCCGAGATGGGCAGATCACTTGAGGCCAGAAGTTCGAGACCAGCCTGGCCAACATGGTGAAACCCCATCTCTACTAAAAATAAAAATATTAGCTAGGCACAGTGGCACATGCCTGTATTTCCAGCTAGCCAGGAAGCTGAGGCAGGAGAATCATTTGAACCCTGGGAGGTGGAGGTTGTAGTGAGCCGAGATTGCACCATTGCACTCCAGCCTGGGTAACAGAGCGAGACTCCGTCTCAAAACAAACAAACAAAAAGGGCATTTGTCTTTCAATTATAAAAATCAAAGGTGGTCACTGAAAAACAAATTCAAATTCACATGTGTATCTTTTTGTCTTTCAGCCAGGCACGGTGGCTCACATCAAAGCATGCTGCTTTCAGCATCTTCTCACTCTCCCTCCCCAGGGTAACCACTTTCGATGGTTGGAGATGTTTGTCTATTCATATAAGAAATAGATGCACATAATTTGGGTGGGTTTTTTTTAAATTAATGGAGTTCTATTATAGATGCTGCCCTTTTTCCCTTGGTGTGGAATTGACAGAGGATAATAAATTAATTCTAAGTAACAACTTTTTTTTTTTTAACACATCCTATCTCCTCACAGAAATGACAAGCCCTTCTCTTGTGGTTCCATCCCATCCCCAAAACAGTATTTATCCTCCCTTCTCTGCATCATGTCTGTTTCTGGTGCAAAATTGCACCTTGGCGCATGTACTGAATGGTGTTGCACTGGAGGCTGTGTGCAGTGGCTCACGCCTGTAATCCCAGTACTTTGGGAGGCCGAGGTGGGCGGATCATCCGAGGTCAGGAGTTCAAGACCAGCCTGGTCATCATGGTGAAAACCTGTCTCTACTAAAAATACAAAAATTAGCCAGATGTGGTGGCAGGTGCCTGCAATCCCACCTACTTGGGAGGCTGAGGTTGCAGTGAGCTGAGATCGTGCCACTGTACTGCAGCCTGGGGACAAAGTGAGACTCGTCTCAAAAAAAAAGAAATAATAATAATAATGGTGTTGCCCTTGCACTGGTGCCCTGTTGGCTCCTGGCCTCCCTTCTAGACCATCAGCTCCCTGCAGCGGGGGAGCCTGTACACTTGTCCCTGGTCCATCCTCTATCCCAAGGCCCAGGACATGGCCTGGAACATCGGAGACCCCAGCGGCTGTTTCTCAAAGTGAGCTGAACTCGCTGGTGTTTCCCACACACTAGAGCCCCCCAACCTGCCCTCGATTCTCTCCTGACTTATTTCTCCGCATGCCTGGGGCCAGTTCCAGCTGGACTAGCAAGGAGGGCAGCTTTACCTCTGTCCTCCCGACACACCCTACTGGGTGGCGTATGGACAGGGGAGCCTGGGACAATGCGTAGCCATCTCACACACTGTCTACTTCCCCTGTCAGTGGGGAAAGTGGTGGCAGGAACAGAGCCCAGGAGGAAACTGCTGGAGACCCTCTTCACTGCTAAGGCTGACAGGAAGACGAACCATGACAGTGGCGTAAGGGGAAGGCCTCGGGCCCATGGGGGATGGCTGTCTGGGATCTGACTTGCTGTTTGGGCAGGAGCCCCTGGGGCGGCTGCAGACAGGGTCACAGAAGGAGGCTGGGCTTCACAGACCCCTGTCGGCAGGCAGGGCCCTTGCCCTCCAGACTAATCCTCTGCTGGGGGCAGCAAGGCCCGGGGCCACTGGCAGAGCTGGGGAGGCTGCAGAGGAGGCTGAGAGAGCCACTGGGGCAGCAGCGTGGTGAAGAGCAGCTGGGGGCCGCTCCCACAGCCACACTGACCAGCCTGGGCCTTCTGTGCTGTGGCATTCCCGTTCCTAACATGGAGCTCACGGCCTTTGACCCGCCTCCCTCCTAGGGCTGCTGAGAGGGTCAGAGAAGAAGCCGCAGGGGACTGGCCTCACCCTGGGAGAGTTATGCACGCTGTCCCACGTTGCACGACAAGTCGGATGCTGTTAGGACGACTCCCAGGCTGAGGAGGTCTGACCCCACGCTCATCATCTGGACACGTCTGACCCCACGCTTGTCATCTAGACTGGTCTGACCCTCGAATTTATTTCCTCTTTCGCCACAGGACAATCCTTCTACTCCCGGGTCCTTGAGAACTGCGAGGATGTGGCTGACTTCGATGAGGTAGGAGGCCCAAGACCCCCCACCCTCAGCCCTCAGCCCTGAGCCCAGAGGGGGACGAGCAGCGTTGCTGCTTCTTGGGGGAACATACTGGCCCCCAGTCCCAGGAGCCGGCCTGGTCCAAGCCCCTCACGTCTCAGCTGCTTCCTGAAAGAGGTGGTGAGGAGGGTGTGTAGGAACCCCCCCCATACTGCCCCCAGAAACCTCTGCACAGGCGAGGCCCGTTTGCAAATGACACGGGGGCAGCAGCCTGGCATTCCTCGGTGGCCCTGCCGGGTCTGGGCCTGTTACTCCCTGTGGAGAACGAGCCCACAGGTGCTGTATACCTGAATGTGAGCTGCCAGCTGAGGGCCCAACGAGGTGGGTGAGTGTTGGGGATGTCGCAAAGGCCAGTCTGTGTCAGTCCCCAGGGTTGGAGAGCAGGGCAGGCATGGGCACTGAGGTAGGAGTCCTCAGGGAAACAGTGTTAATCACCCAACTGAGTCAGGGCTCCATCTCCACATCTTTAGGGGAACCATGGGGAAGGGAAGACAGTCTGGATTTCCAGCAACAGCTTTGGGAGTCCGTGAGAAAAGACGTGAGCTGCTGGTCTATTGACAATGATTCTTCTCAATCCTCACTCCAGCCGGGCTGCTGTCACAATTTTATCAGCAAAGGAGTAGGCGACAGCCTCCCACGGGAGTGCCTGGGAGCAGTGAGAGGACTTACAAAGCATCCCTCTCCCTGCCATCCCCTCGGCACCTGGCCTGGCTGGAAGCCCCAGTCCCCACACACACACCAGTTCAAGCAGCCTGGGGCCTCCTCGGCCACCTCACAATTTTTTTTTTTTCTTTTTTTGAGACAGTTTCACTTTTGCTGCCCAGGCTGGAGTGCAGTGGTGCGATCTCCGCCCACTGCAGCCTCCACCTCCCGGGTTCAAGCCATTCTCCTGCCTCACTCTCCCAAGTAGCTGGGATTACAGGCGCCACCCACCACCACATCCAGCTAATTTTTGTATTTTTAGTAGAGATGGGGTTTCACCGTGTTGACCAGGTTGGTCTTGAACTCCTGCCTTCAAATGATCCACCCACCTCAGCCCTCCAAAGTGCTGGGATTACAGGTGTGAACCACCACACCCAGCCTCCTCACATTCTTTTACCTATTTGTTTGCGGCTTCCAGGATCTATATTCCCCTCTGGTTGCTGTAGTTTCTCCAGGGTTGACTTTGGGGTGAGGACCAGCAGTCCGCCCTCACCTCACCATCTTGGCACAAACTGGAAGCTCTGTCATGACCCTCGAATAGTGTACCCGCTCTCCCCCGGGCTTGGCTTCCCGTCTGGCTCTGTGGGGGCTGGGAAGAGCCTCATGACAGGCTCTGCCTCTTGAGGCTGGCTGCTGGGGTTTGACGGAGCAGCCACCAGGCTGACACTTGGCACCAGCTGTCTACCCCTCCCCCTGAAACCCGGTCACACGGTGTGGCTGTGTCCTCGGCCCAGAGCTGGAGACACAGGGAGCAAAGCCTTGTTCCTAACTCAAGCTCAGGTGCAGCCATCAACCATTGCTGCTCAACGCCGCGCCCTCCCCAACCACTGCAGGGCACAGCTGCCACTACCTCCCTATGGGCACGTTCCCATTGCTACCCAGGACAGGCGAGTTCCTCATTTAAAGTGAATCACTAGCGCTAAGGACGTTTCTGTCCGTACTTTCTCCCCCTCCTGGCTGTACAATGACCTCAGTTTCTGAGCCCGTCGCCATGTTTGTCAAATGGGATTGGTGATGGGCGTGAAGGTCTCTGTGAAATGATGAAAAAAATGAGGGATGATTGTGAGAGTGGAGCCATGGCCGTCCACTGAGCCAGCTGTCATAGAGGCTTCAAGCTTGCCCCATTTCACACCTGGCCTGTTCCCTCCCCTCCCCATTTCCTCAGTCTGGGCACTGGGCGGGCTGGGGGAAGATGCCAGCAGCCTGGCCCGGTTCCCCATAGTCCTACCTCCCTGGGCTTCTGCCCACAAATCCACCAGGCACAGCATCTGACTCCCTCTTCCCAAGACTCCCAGGGGACGTGTCAGCCCAGGCATCCAGCCAGGTGGCAACCTGATGCCCCTTCCAAGGGTACCACCACCCTTTTCCATGCCCAGTGTCCTGGACACCTGAGCCACAGGTATACATGACATTCAAAGTTAATCACTGTGTCCTTCCTCTTCCCAACTCTGCCAAGCCCACCTTGAGGGAGAGTCTGTCTCTGCTAGCCCTGAGCAAGGGCCACATTCTGAGTATCTCATGCATGTCGGGCTGGGCTTGAGACACCCTAGAGGGAGGAACCTGAGCTCAAAAGTCCGTGATGATTCATATGGGAGCTTAGGAATGGGGTAGCCAGAGTCAGTGTGGAGAGACTGGAGTCGGGCAGAAGCCAGGCAGTTACAGAAGAAGCATGTGACTAAGGTCAGAGAGCAGGGCATGCAATGAGGGAAGTGGCTCTCCCCTGGGGAAAGTGCTGCCCGCACAATGCAGGGACAGGGAAGCTTCCGGTTATCGCAATGAGGGATCTACTGGCATTTATTTAGTGGGGTGGGGAACAAGGATGCAAAATGACTTGCAACGCGCAGGCCATCCTGCACTTCACAACAGGGAACGCTGTGGGAAGATGGTGGCAGCCCCAGCAGCAGCCCTGAGCTGCTTCCTGAGCCATACCCCTTCCAGTCAAGCTCTGAGATAATCCACAGATGAAATCAGGCTCAGATGGTAACTAACCTTCCCCAGGTGACAGCTCTGGAATCAGCCAAGCCAGGTTTCTGGATTCATGCATGCATCAGACCCACGCCCTCTCTAGATACAGTGATAGGGCCTGACTCCCACCACCCCTACCAGGCCCTTGGTGGAGTCTCTCCACACCCCCGCCTCCATTTCTCCCTCTGCGAAGTGGCTGCAGCTCTGGCCACCACTGGTCAGCAGTGCACAACCCACAAAGCAGAAGGCCGCCTCCCATCTCCTGTTCAGGAAGGCTCCGGAGGCCTGGGTCAGCCCGGTCCCAAAGAGAGCCTGGGGCTGTCCCTTGGCTTTAACCTCTATCCCTCAACCCCGTGGACAAGTCGTAAACTTCCCTGGCTTCCCCCTGAAAGAACCAGCCTGCCAGTGGCTCCAGAATATCCTGGAAAAGAGGTCTTTCAAATCCCCCTAAAGCCTCTTGACCTCCCAGAAAGCCTCTTCTCTCTGCCTTACTCTGCCCAGGGCCTGCAGGAGCCAGCTGAGCGAGACACACTGGCCTGGGGGTCATGAGACTTGCCCCACAGTCCTTGCTGGGGAACCACTTTGGGCTCGGATTCCCCTTCTGTAAAAGGGATATGCTCCTTGCTCTACCTGCCCCACGGGACTGTCACAAGGCTGAAAAAAAAAAAAAAATGCAATGAGAGACCAGAAAGCAAATGTCTCTCACAGCTCTACTAGGTAAGGGATTCCAAGCAAGGGAGGGGCCCCTCCTCTGCTCAGGCAAGGGTAAGAGGGCCTGCAGCAGCTGGGCTAGGAACCTGAGTGGGGAGGAGGAGGCCATGGAAGAAAGACAGTGCTCTCTACAACAATGGGTGGAAACAGAGCCTGGACACGGTGTCTCCTTTCCCAGAGGCTGGAACCTGAGCTCCTGCATTTAACCTACAATGCTAGAAAAGCTGTGGGGAGAGAGAGAAAGACCCAGCCTTTGTGCCCTGGGGAAGCAGGAGTGGCCACCTTCAGCCAGTTTGCTTTGGCTCTAACACAGGCCCTGTGTGGACCAGGCCCCATGGAGAGGCCAGAGTAACAATCGTACTTGTAGCAATGATAAGAGGAACTGCTGCTATTTACTGAGCACTTAGTGTGCGGCAAGATGGGCTAGAGCTTGGCGCAAGCGTTAGACTCACTAGAACTTGCTGGGTTGGTAGCATCCTAGGTGATAAGGAGCCGCACCAGGATTTAAACCCAAGTCTCTCTGATTCCAGGGCCTCTGGTCACTTGCAAAGTAGACAAGACTCAGCTCTGCCCTCAAGGGGCTCAGTCTAGCGGGCAGATGGACCCACTACAAACAAGGTGGGACCCTGGGCCTTCTGAGTCCTAGGGAGGAAGAGGTCGCCAGCCTGGGGGATGACAAGGCAGGGGATCTTGGCCTCATCTGTCCCTTTCTGCTTGTACCTGGAAGTCATGGGCTGTCACCTCCTGGAGGCCAGAAATGCACCTGTCATGTTCATCATTGGGCTGGCACCCAGCATGGAGCTCAGAAAATGTCGCCAAGTGAAAGAATGAACAAAACAGTGACATTCACTAGGACTGGCACCTGTCACCGCAGGCCCGTGCCCAAACCTCATGGGCTCAGTAGTGCTAGTGGTACCTCAAGCCCTTTGCTGGGGCCTGGTTGGAAAGGAAGCAGGCAAGGCACAGATGAGATCACCTAAAGGGACTTTAGATCACCTTGATCTCTAAGGTTAGAGATCATGTTGTTTAACCCTCTTGTCCTGCACTTGAAGAAACAGGTCTTAGAGAAGGGAAGAGAACTGCCCAAGAAGACCAGCTGAAACCTGAGATCCTACATTTAACTTACAACGCTGAAGAATCTGGGGAAAGAGACAGAGACAAAGACAGAAACAGAGACAGAGACAGAGAGACGCAGCCTTTGTGCCCTGGGAAAGTGCAGTGGCCTCCCTAGGGGAACTGGGCCCAGGTCTTGAAGCTCCCAAGTCTGTCTCTTTCCATTATACTCTAAAGCAGCAGTCCCCAACATTTTTGGCACCAGGGACCTGTTTTGTGGAAGACAATTTTTCCATGGACTGGGATGGTGGTGGCAGGGGGTGATTTGGGGATGAAACTGTTCCTCCTCAGATCATCAGGCATTAGATTCTCTTCAAGAGTGCACAGCCCAGATCCCACGCATGTGCAGTTCACGGTAGGGTTCCCACTCCTAATGCCACCGCTTATCGGACAGGAGGCAGAGCTCAGGCTCACCCGCCACTCATCTCTTGCTGTGCGGCTCGGTTCCTAACAGGCCATGGACGGGTGCTGGT